TGGATCTGCCTGCTAGAAACCTCGGAGTCTTTGACTGATGAAAGGTACAAAAGTCCTCTCTGGCTTCGTCTGATTTTGCTACCCTTGGTTTCCTCTTGCCCCAATTTTCTCATTTACTTTTAATCTTGCTATACTGCGTTTATCTCTGTAAATCTCAAGTCCTTTCTGCAATCCGATAAAGAACAAACAAAACCCTTTCAGATGCCTTTTCTCCTGGCTTCTGGGTTCCCTGTGCCAGCACAGCCCCAGTCTCAAAGCAAGCCAAGTGAATGATGAACAGATAAATGGACATACATGGGGAGCAGTCTACGTCAGAAACAACCTGAGCAGAAGGGCACGAGGTAGCAAAAAATTCAGACACCAAACGTCACTCACTCCCTGGTGGTGACCCTCGCAGGGACTGAAAACCAGGTGCCCACCTTCCCATGGTGGGGCCCCCCCGGACGCTCTACTCCCTGACCGCCCAAACTTCTGCACTGCTCTCCCTCTGCACCCCTCAGGAACGCCCTCCCCACCTGCCCCAAACCCACCCATCCTTAAGGACATAGGCCAGGCCCTATTCCTCCAGGAAGCCTGCTCCACCACTCCACCCACCCAGTGCCCTCCTCCCCTGAGCAGCCCTTAAAGTTGACGGCAATGACCCTAGTCACCAGGGAGGTATGTCTTCTACTCCAGCCTTGAGATGTTTCTACAAGTGCTGCCATTATTTACGTTTTCAGGCAGGGGGCTAATGACTTCCCAATTCACTAAAAGGTTCTTGAAGGCAGGTCTAAATCTACAGCTCACAGTGTTACCCACACACCGTGGAGCTGGTTTCCACCAGCCATCACCCAAACCCCAACCTCAACGCTACTGCATGTTGAGGGGGATCCAGGGAGGACATGGGGCCTGAATGGGCCAAGCTGGGCTGCAAGCAGGAGCTGGCCAGCCCTGGACACCCCCGAGCAAGGCCTCCATAGGTAGGGAAGGCTGGAAAACCAGGCACTTCCTTGAGCCTCTCATTGCAAAGAGACCAAAGGGCAAAGAAGGGAAGTGAATCAGGAGCTGATTAGTCAAAGACACTCCTTCCAGGGATGGAGCAAGAGATGGAAACCCCTTAGTGGAAAGGCCCTAAATTTATGTCTTGTTAATAAAAACCACCCTGGGAAGCACTGCTTTCTACTCAGAAGGGCAACATTTCATTAACATTCTGAAGCGCTTCCTCTAGAAACATGCGTTCTGTGTTACTGCTTCTGTCTCAAAGACTCTGGCAGCACAAGTGAGAGGAGTGTGATGGGGGTGGTGGGACGGGCTGGGGAGGTAGGCGGCACAGCTCTGGAGGGAAAGAGCCTCCTCTGCCCCCAAATCAGGGCTGAGGCCAGCGGGTGGGCAGCCACTGCCATCCCATCTGTCCCCCCCTCCCACCCTGACCAGGTTAGCACATTCAGGTTCTCCCAACAAATCACGGTACGAAGGGGTGAAGAGCTACATGCCTGGACATCGCTGCTCGCTGGCCATGGGTCTGCCTCCCCCTTCAGATAGCGAACTCCCAAGGACAGCGATGCCCAATCAGCCCAGCACCGCACCACGCACCCTAAATGCAGCTGACCAATCATACCAGCTGCGCCCAGCACTGCCTCCCACTCACGCCCTCTTAGGAGCCCTCCCCTTCCACAGCCTTAGAGGTCACGCAGTCTGCCCCCACCAGCGGGTGGGACAGGGTGGGGGCCCTCACTCAGGCTGGACCATCCTCCTCTCTCTCTGGAAATTGGGCCTTGGGACCCCGAAACTGAGGGCAGCCCCACTGCAAGGGGACTCAAGCTGAAGCCACCATCGGGGGCGGCCACACTGACAATCCAGAGAGAGCCAGCCTACAGGGAGACAGGAATGGGGCAGACACTGGAAGAGGTGAGAAAACCCAACCGCAATCCAGAGAGGAAAACTGGACGACAGGCTACCTGCGGGCTCCCCAGGTCCTGGCTGGTGCCTGCAACTGTCTGCTGCACAAGTTCCCCGCTCCCTGCCCTGAACTCCCTTCACTTAGCCCAACTGGAGGTTCTGTTCCCGGCAACAAAGTAATCCCAGAGATGTGGGATCAGCTACCCCTCTGCCCCGCCCACTACTCACAGTAAAATGGGGAATGGGTGTTAGGGAGGCGTGTCTGGGGATGACCAGTGTGGGCGATGGGGAGAGCCCAGGGGGCCGGGCCCCAAACCAGACAGCGTGAATGGGGTGGAGGTGTCTGAGGACACGACCGAAAGTGAGCTTTAGGGAAATAAACCTGGTAGGTTAGGTGGGTGGGTTGGGGTGGCAGAAGGGGCATACCTCCCAGGCACACAGCACAAACAGGCAGAGAACAACACAACTACCTCTTTGCACCTCGATTTCCTTACTGTAAAATGTAGGCAATGTTATCAAAACAGGCATGATACATACATTTAAGTGCTCAGAACAATTCCTGGCCGAGCAAGCACTCAGTCAATGTTATTCTTCTTCTTTTTCTTTTAAACCTGCATAAAGGCCAAAGTTCTCCCCAAAAAATCACCAGGCAGGGAAGCAGGGAGAGTCAAGAACGCAGCTCCCCACCTCTGGGCATGGGAGCAGGGCAGAGCAGATGGCATCAGGAGAACAGGGTCAACCTTTAGAGGGGCAGGGCCAGGGAAGGGAGGCCAGGATGAAGCCAGCCCCCATAGCGGGCAGCAGGGACAGCTGGGGCTGTGGGGATGGCGGCTTTCCCATTGCTGCCGAGGGAAGCCAGACCAGGGCAGAAGGGGCAGCCCACAGCAAAGGTCACAGTGAGGCAGGGGACAGCAGGGCCTGGGGCAGGGCTGGCTGAAGATGGACAAACAGCCTGGGGAGGGAATGAGCATCCTATCATCCGAGGTGTGTGAACGAGGGCCACTCGGTGGTGCAGCAGCGATGACGCTTACAGGCAATCACTCTGGGCCAGGCACAGTTCACACACATCAACACATTCACCCATTTAACCCTATCAACCCTAAAGGTAGATACTATTTCCACTTGCTGTTGAGTCGATTCCACTCACAGCAACCCCACGCATATCAAAGTAGAACTATGTTCCATAAGGTTTTCAATGGCTGACTCTTCAGAAGTAGACAGCCAGGCCCTTCTTCTGAGGCACCTGTAGGTGGACTTGAACCTCCAACCTTTTGGTTAGCAGCTGAGCCATTAACCACTTGCACTACCCAGAGATACCATTAATATCCTAATTTTATAGATGGGGAATTTCAGACAGAGAGGTGTAGTGACTTGCCTGAGGTCACACAGCTAGTAAGCGGCAGAGCTGGAATTTGAACCCAGGCTGTCAGGGCTAGCACTAGTACTCTTCACCATCACGATGGACAGCAAATGCTAGAAAGGAATGGGGGCCCCTGTAAGCAGATCCTTCATCTGGGGGCTTTGGGATCTGCAGGCAGTACCGCAGGCTCCACCCTCCCAGCCTGCTGGGTGCCGAGAGCGTGGGGGCTGCAGGTGCCCCTTGGTGCTCTTCTGCCTTCGAAGCTCCTCTCCATCCCCCTCCTCCTCCTGGAGTCTGCCCCCCAACATCTCTTCCAGCCCAGGCAGTGCAGCTGACAATGCATCCTGTGCTCCCAGCAGTAGGCACCTACTGTATACAGCGGATGTGTGAGTGGCTCCACTTAGCAAAATAGGAGGAACTGACAATCCCTTCACTCAGCAGGATTCTAATATAAACCCCGTGCCCGGTTACCCAGGAGCCCGCCTCTCTTCCCGACTCCAAGCCTTTGCCCATGCTGTTGCCCTGCCTGAAGCCACCTTTGACACCCTGGCTCTGCAAAGCTTCCTATTTACCCCGTCCTCAGAGGTCCCTCGTCTGTGCTCCCACCTCCTCCACCGTTTCACTCCCCTGACTTCGAAGCCAGGCTGGGCTCCACGTCCCTCCTGTGACCTGCCAGGCAGGGCCAGGACCAGGTGACAGCAACTGGGGGGATGAATGAAAGGCTCGTTGTTTACATTTACAACCAGTGGGGGGGGGGAAGGCCAGCCGGGTGCGCACCCGTGAGGCAACCCACGTGGTGCTCCCTCACCCTCCTCCGCCTCTGCCCACAGCCTTAGGCCAGCCCCACACCCACTAGCCTTCTTGGGGAAGGGGACGTCTTACAAGGGTGAAGGCCATCCCTTTGTCGGGACTCCCATTTCTCACCCAAATGGGAGCACAAGGGTCTTAGAGATTAAAGGACACACTACTAGTTCTGTCACTCTCTCAGAATCCCTATTTGTCCGTCCTTCCCAAGGTATGGCTGCGGCCTGCGTGGAACTGCCCAGTGGGCACCCGCCTGGCCCAGGCCCCGCCTGAAGGGCCACACGGGTGGGCCCTGGAGGCCCAGGAAGCATCCTCAGCGGCCGGCCCCTCCCTGTGAGAAGACAGAAAATCTGCTGCCTCACCAGCCATCAGCACTAGCCTGGGGGGTGGGGGCGTGTGCGTGAAGGCGCCCCGCCCGGCCCCACCCCTCCCCACCACGCACTACAACCAAGTTTTGCAAAGGGCATGGCCAGGCGACCCCAGCCGGTGGATGGTGCTCCTGGTTCTCACGACCTCCAGTCTGCAGAGAGGCTGCGTGACCGCGCCCACCAGCCTGTGCCCCACGGCCGCGAGCCCAGAGCGCCCCGTGGCGCGCCCAGCCGCTTGCGCTGCCTTCGGGAGGAGAACGGGCGGCGCCCCAGCAGATGGGCCGGACACCGGTCTGTGGGTGGGGGCGCCGACGGAGCTGGCGATGCCTCCATCAAGGGGTCCTGCAGGCCAGGTAGCGGCCCCCAGCCCCCAGCAGCGCTCCTCCTCGCCTGCAGGCGGCAGGGAACTGGGGGTGCATCCACGGCCAGCGCCGCTCACGGCCACCGGGCACCCGACCTTCCGCCTCTCCTCACGCGCGACACTGCCACCGGCCGGCACTGCCCCTAGCCAGGCCGGGGCTGCGCACTCCCGCCTCGCCCCTCCTTTGTTGCCGGCGAGCCCCCTCCCTCGGGTCTCGGCCGGCTCCTACCTTCGCTCCGCCGGCCTCAGGCGAGGCGGCGCGAGGCCTGGCGCCCGGCCTCCTCGCTGTTCCGCCCGGGAACCAGGGGCGAGGATACTGCGGCCCCTCCCTGCGCCGCGCCGCCACCCGGCTGCAGCCCCT